CACATCCAGCAGCCAGCCTTCTGGAGCGGAGCGAGTCTTTTCTGGGAAGAGAACTTCTCCCGTTACCTCCATTCTCTGGCAATTTGTAGCTGGAGCTGTTACTCCTCTGGTGAACTGGGGGGGGATTTACAGCTGGTGTGAGAGGATCATCTGCTCGCCAGGGCCGGCGGCGCTCGGCCCTCGCGTCTCGCGTGGCTGAAAGCAAAGGTGCAGGCGGAGGAAGCTCCGCAGCCTCTCCGCTTCCCTCCCCGGGGCGGACCCACTGCTTTGTAGGGAGCAGCGGGCATAGAGAGCCGTGAAAGCTGGGTCCCTAGTTCTGCTGACTGCTGGGCCGCAGAACGTGTCCTTAAACCCTCTCTTGTCTCGGACCCGATCTCACCTTCTGCTCTGGTGTCTGTCCACAGCGACACAAAGCCCGGGCAGTGTCCGATTAGTGCGTTGCTCTGGCCACCCCTGTGCAGAGCAGCACAGCCTCCAACATGGAGGGAAACACGGAAGAGCAAAGGGAAGGACCCTTAAATCACCAAGATTAAATACCTCTATTAATATCTGCTGGAGATTGCTCATAGAGGTTCCAGCGTCACGGCACGTCGTGCCACTACAGCTCTCTGCCATCTTCCCTGGAATTGTTTCTGGCTCCTTTACGATATCCAAGCAAACTGCAGCCCAAAGCTGCACCATGTCTGGTGTCACCACCAAGGAACAGGCTCTTGGCACAAACAGCCACGTGACAAACTTCTTTCTCTTTAATTGAATGACTTGACCTTGTGCAAATACTTAACTTTATGCTCCATTTTTACAGTCTAAGTGGTCCCTGAACAGAGAAAATCTAGGAGTGCAGGGATGATGATGTTTTGCAATTGTCCAGGAAGGAACATGGGGCTCCGGAGTTGGCAGCTGACAACGTGAAGAACATCACGAGTCCAGCGATGTGCTCCCAGCTGCTCCTTGCTTTTCCAACTCCTGCCGGCAGTGGGTTAGCAAGATCGCGCTCCGTACTCCCAAACCCGAGGCCTCCTACAAATCCAGCAGGTCCCTTGGTTGGTAGGGCTGTAAGTTCCGGGATTGCACACCACTGCGAGGAGAACAGAGTCGGCGTTTTGGCTGGGGCCGTGGCACCCCGCTGCCCGCTTTCCCGACCTGGGAAGCGATGGCTTGGCGAGCTCGGAGCCTGCCCCCGCTCCAGCACCGGCAGCAGGCGCTGCTGGCAAAACGCCTCTTAAAACCCCCGGCGGGTTTCTAGCAGCGCTCCTTAAGGGAGTTGGTTCTCATTTGCTCTGTATCCTGCACGGTCACGCGGCCGTGACCTGCAAGAAAACCACTTCGCTGCTTCCAGCATTTGGAAATGGTGTGACACCCGCCAGTGCCCTAACGAACGCTCCCAGCTCGTTTTCTCTTCCTACCAGGTCATTAATTGGTGATGGGCATGTCTTTTGGAAAGGCGAGTGGAAATGCTGTTTTTGACACACATTTACCAAATGCTCCCCACAGAAACCCGTCACTGGAGCCGATCAACTGCATTTAAACCGATGTCTCTCGCATTTACCGCAGCAATTGGCACAGCTCTTGTGGGTGAGGTCGTTCTTCCCGAATCCTGGTTGACAGCTGTCAACGTAGATAGCCGAGAAACTGCTGGCCACGTAGTGTATGGCGGGAACGGTTTGCAACATGTGCTTCAAAACATATGTCTGTCTCTGGAAAAACTCCCCAATCCGATCTCTTGCCTAAAATTCAGAAATGTTGGAAGAATGAAAAATAGTCAGTTGTGGTTTTCTTGGCCTTTTTAAAAAGGTCAGTAAATACTTTATAGCGCTGGTTGCCACGCAGGCTGCCCCCTCACCTTAACTGGGGTTGCCCTTTGGCTTTGGTTGCCTGGAATCATGGAATGGTTTGGGTGGGAAGGGACCTTAAAGCCCACCCAGTCCCACCCCCTGCCAGCAGGGACACCTTGCACTAGACCAGGTTGCTCCAAGCCTCATCCAGCCTGGCCTTGGACACTCCCAGGGATGGGGCATCCACAGCTTCTCTGGGCAACCTGTCCCAGTGCTCCCCACCCTCTGGGTATCAGGAAGGAATCCTTCCCGCAATCTAAACCTCCCCACTTTACATTTAAACCTGTTACCCCTTATCCTGTCACTACAGGCCCTTGTAAAAAGTCCCCCCCAGCTTGCTTGTAGCCCCCCCAGGCACTGGAAGGGGCTCTAAGTTCTCCCTGGAGCTTCCCTTCTCCAGGCTGAACCCCCCAACTCTCCCAGCCTGTCCCCATGGCAGAGGGGCTTCAGCCCTCAGAGCATTTCCATGGCCTCCTCTGGACTCGCTCCAACAGCTCCGTGTCCTTCTGATGTTGGGGGTCCCACAGCTGGATGCAGCACTCCAGGTGGGGTCTCGCAAGAGCAGAGCAGAAGGGCAGAATCCCCTCCCTCAACCCGGCGAGCCAGCTGAGAGCATGCTTTCATGGTAAGAGGCCAGAGAGAGCAGATTTCAAAAATCAGCGGCGGGAGATTTGTTGTAATTTGGATTCCATTTACCAACTCATAAATCTTTAGAGAACCTCCAGTTCTCTAATATAGAAACTAATATAAATGCTAGTGTTTATTTCCTTTATGTTTACTTCTAAGACTAAAGAATTATGAGCCTGATCTTTTTTTAACTGCTTGCATCCCCTCTGTAAGCCTGATCTGACTTCTAAAACCCGCTCTCTCTCCCGAGCTGGGTCGTTTGACATCCACGACTCATCGCTGACGATGAGGCCAACGCCGTGACGTCTGGGCAGAGCTGGATTACCACCAGCCGCGCGGGCAGAGAGTGGTGTTCAGTGCAGGGGGCGCGGGGCGGCTGACACAAACCTCTTCAACTCTCCCGTTTGTCGCCTCTTCGCAGTCGTAAGGAGCCCGGCGGCAAACTTCTTCCCATCCCGGTGCGAAAGGACTGACTGTGGGTGAGGGGAAAGAGGTTGAAGAATATTAGTGGCCTCCAATACCTCAAGCAGGTGTGTTTTGGTTTGTTTCAGGGGAAAAAATGACAAAATGCGTTATAGCTTTTAGCATCTTAAGGTGCTCACTTCCTCCAATTGTAGTCTTTAATTTGGCCTCTAATTTGTCAAGAATGGTGATTTTTTTTTTTTTCTTAAAATCTGTCGCTGTCTGCAGTCAAAATCATGTTTTGAAACTGTGTTTTGGCTGCATGTGAATGTTGACAATTGAGTGACCGATGGAAGGGGAAAAAAGGATTTGGTCCTGGTGGTTTCTGTAGCTACTAAAGTCACTTTTTTCCAGTAAGAGTCAGCGGTCAACCTATAAATGACAAGGGATAAATATGCAAAGCTGACAAGAATGGAACTAAATTCTCCCACAGTACCCTCGGGGACAGAAAGGACTAAAGTTTCACGTCAAACTAAAACACTTTGGTCCTCCTGAACGTTTGACTTTATGGCTGCGGAACCGTTCCGTACCCTGGGGGATGGTCCCTCTTGGCACAGGATGAACAGGTACTGGAGAGAATGTGGGTGAAGCATGAATGAACAATTCCCTTTCCTCGGTGATAAAACAGCCCTAAATTAGGGCAGCCCTTGGGTTGATTTAACCTGTTTTGCAAGGCAATACATCCACATCAGTATTACCCTAAGGGGACCGTGAGGCTCTTGGTTTTAACCTCTGTGCAGTTCCCAGAATCAAGCAAAACTCCAGAGGTCACAGGCTTATTAAAACTCAAACAGTGAAAACTAAATATGACCATTTTCCTTGTTATAGCTGTTACGATGCCATAATTTTTATATCTATCTCCTCAACAATCCTTCCAAACTGCGTGGCCTGAATCATGGAAAAGTAGCACCTGAATTTTTTCTTCATTGGAAACTCGTGTTTCTCTCTACGGCTGCCAGCACGATGCTACAAAGTCACCATATAAACTGCATTTTGGCTCCATCTGTGGGCTAATAAGGAAAAATACAGGACTCGGAAATTTTTTCTGCTGAAGGTATAGGCTCCTTTAGTGTACGTCAGATGTTGTGTGTAGTGCTCTCGGCTGTCTAAAAACAAATGATCTCTCCCAAACAAACACAGGAATCGGTTACCTTGAAAGCTAACAAAGAGTTCGTGCAGGAGGCTTTGCTTCGGTGTCTTGACGGCGCGGCATTTGTAGGATGAGTGCGTGAGGTGACACATCAGATCAGAGATGATGTCGGTTAGGATTCTCTGTAGCTCCCCAAAGAACTGGCCGTTGGCTGCTCGCTCGCACTCCCTCGTAGTAAAGCGGACGGACATCTGATACGCGTGGTCAGCTTCCCTGTACGCTGGAGGAAAACGGGCCCCGTGTGAGTGCGGTGGCGTAATCGCCGCTTGGATCTCGCGTGGGACCTTACTGTCCGTATCGGTGCCCTTTGTATCCAAAAGTTGGGTTCGTATTCACGAGTAAACAAATAAACAAAGCTACTCGTTAACCGTAACAGAACCCGTTTGGCCTTGCCGGAGCTGACTCCAGCAGCGAGAGACGTTGTCGTGTGAAGCGCACGGGAATTCGCGTTGCGAGGCTCTGCTCCCCAACCCTAAAACAAAAAAGGGGGTGAATAGTGAACTAACGCGGATCCAGCGTGTCCACGGGGTGGTGTGAGAAACGGGCTGGGGTTATGCAAAACCATTCCACGCAGTTAGCGCGCGTTTTTAACCATCACTTTAAAAGGTGGTGTTTCTCAAGGGTTTTTGGAAGTGTTATTTTGCCAGGGGGGGAGGTGACGGTGGTGGGGAAGGCTGGAGGGGCTGCTCAAGCCGTTGGGGCAGAGGGCTCGTTCTGCATCGGCGTATGTTCGGTTTGGTGACCCCTCTCGTGGGAGGCCACGCTCGGAGACGAGCTTCCCTTGCAGATCTTGGATAGCCTTGGATTATTGCCGTTCACTTTGTTCTTATTAGGGGTAGAGATTAGTTTCTTTGCGTGTACGTATTCCTTGAGTTGCCGTACGTTCTTGGCGGCAGTTACTTAAGCTTTTCCCAAGCTGGGAAAAGGTGTGTGTGCATAAACATAACAGTTTATCCTGGAATAGAGAATAAGTTAACTGTTTTTTTACCAAGCCTTGCAATAAGCACTTGCTTCACAAACCCTCCAAACCACAGAGGCGCTGTGCCTTGGCTTACCAGTAAATCAGCGAGCTCACCGTATACCACGAATTTATACGCCTCCAGCACTTCTCGTTCTTCTTGTGTCGTAATCTCTATGATTTTGTGAGAGAGAATGCAGGTGTAGGCTCCAGACATGGACTCCGTAAAGCCCACCACCATCAGCTTTCCTGTTTCGGAAAGATTCACGTGCGTCCGCCCTAGAACGGGAACAGGAGACACTTGATTACTGGAAACGTTTGGTTTCTGATGCTCTGCTCACTTAGGACTTTTGAAGATGAGGTCTTGTTCTCACATGTAACACGAATCAGTGTCGTTAGTCTGAAACAATCTAGACCTTATGGCCTTTAGGACTTATGGGAAGTTTCATTCTGTCTCAAGCATTTGAAAATTTTTAGAGGGAAAAGAGAGACACAGTCTGATGTCAGAGCTGGTGGGGAAAATCTGGCAAAGGGCCAAGTGACTACTTGGATCCTCTGTCCTGTTGCAAGCTGGCAATGATAGAAACAAGGAAAACACGTGTTTTCATGTACAGTAAGCGACTTAGCCATTTGTGGTTGACTTTTTTTTCCCCTTGTAAATAGAAACCAGAAACTCTGTCTCAGCAGATTTTTCTGGTTGCCTCCCCACTCTCCAAGGCAGAGGCTGGCTCGAAGTTTGTGAGAAAGTACTGTAGGAAGCCTAAGTTAGTGGTGCCTGGGGAAAAAACGGGTAAGGGGGCAGCGTGGAAACCCTTTGTAGTCTGAACAAAGTGACCAACCTGTTAAGTTTTTTCCGTCTGGACCAATCCACAAATACTTGGGATCTATTAGTTCTTCTCGAGAACGAGCCAAATCCATACATACCAGAAATGGGCTGTTTGTAAACATCTTAACGTACACGTTAACTGCAATGCAAGAGAATAAGGTAAATGACACGAAATGCTGCTTCTGAATGGAAGGGCCACAATACTCATTTCGGAAATATGTTGAATGTAGTAAGTTTCTTATGTTTGGGCTGGAAAATCGGAATTGCCCATGGCCATTGGCTCCCGTTAATGTCACGGAACTGTCCCGAGTGGGGCGGGTGCTGACTCTGCCTCGGGGACGCTCTGCTCCCGCTCACATCAGGTGGCGGGGTCGCGGAAAACGCCACATTTGGACCCTGTTGCTGAGTGGACAACCCTCGTTTAGCCTGTAAATTTTTAGGAGTCCTTATCATTGCACCATGGAACAAACGTATTTCCAAACACCCCCTTCCCTTGTCAGTGTGTGCCATCAGCCTCGTGTTTGGGAGTGTTTGGCACCGCGCTTGGTTGTGTCGCTTCCACGCACAGTGGCGTCTCAGCTGTACTTAAAAATCCGTTTTAAAAGTCAAGTGAGACCTAAATGATAAATAAGCAACTTTACCTTCATGCTTGGTATCACCATAAATGCAGTTCTTCTCTATCAAATCAACAGAATATTGCTCTCTGCCATCAGCCTCGTGTTTGGCACCGTGCGTGGCTGAGCTTGGTTGTGTCGCTTCCACGCACAGTGGCGTCTCAGCTGTACTTAAAAATCCGTTTTAAAAGTCAAGTGAGACCTAAATGATAAATAAGCAACTTTACCTTCATGCTTGGTATCACCATAAATGCAGTTCTTCTCTATCAAATCAACAGAATATTGCTCTCGGT